AAAATACTTAGACCTACTCCCAGAGCTACTCATAGGAGCTAAAAACTAATTTATTTTAGTTCTCAAATATGCATATTCTTTATGTTGATATATTAATTAAATTTTTGCCACAAGGTATTTTACAACATTTGTTTATTTATTATTTTTTTTCTTTAATTTTATAATTGAGGGCCATTTTTTATTTCTTGATTCAATTCTTGCTTATACAGTATTTAAATATTTGAAGATTAAAAAAAATATATATCATTTCTATTACCGAATTTTTCATTGGGGCCATTTTTACCTACCTGTCATATGGGGCCATTTTTACCGGGGCCATTTTTTCCGGGGCCATTATTTCCGGGGCCATTTTTTCCGGGGCCATTTTTTCCAGGGCCATTCTTACCTACATTCTTATTCACATAGCATAAGTGCTAACTTGCTTTTGTTCTAAAATAATCATTTTGTTTATCACAATCTTATTTTGTTTATCAATTTATTTATCAGAATATCATTTGTCTCCATCATCCGCCTACCTTTTTCTAATTGGTCTAAATTTATCTTGTATTGATTTTTGGTATGTTTGTCAGTATTTTTGGACTTAAACTATTCATTCTTGACAATGTTCCAATAAGAACGAAACATAGAATCAACTATGGCCTCACGTCTGTCATTTTTCAGAGTCACCATACTCATATTCTATTTACATATAATCAGTGGATCCTTTGGTTTTAGGAGAGAATACCATATGTACGTGTGTTTGTTGACTTATATTTTGTGTTTTTCACACACTTCAAGCCTTCACGATGTCAATAAGTTTTTGATCTGAACAATCTTTGTTTCTAAAAATGTTTGCTCACACGGTCCTGCGCTGGAACTTTGTTGTCTTTTAGTTTGATTGTACTGAACATAATTACACTAACATACAGTGAATATTATAGCGAAAATGGAAAGAAATAATTGAATTATTATAAACATATACAATAAATTTGAATTTAATAATATAATAATAATAGATGGATTTATATAGCGCAAATAAATGAGGTCTCTATGCGCTTGACAATATTGAACAATGTACACTCGACAATAATAACAACAATATACATTGTCACTTCACAATACATAGAAAATCAAACTAAAATAAAATACTTGTACAACTGATGTTCGTAAAACAGACGTTTTACTGTATATTACATACATATGTATAAATAGACACACATGTGTTTTGGCAACTCACCTTTATTCCTGATGCACACTCGACAGTTTATCTAAAGATCTCCGACCATCTATAAAAATTAGCGATATTCCGATTATGACGTCAGGTACGTTAATTCTTTCAAATGTCGTTGGACATATAACATTATTGGTGGTAATATCACTTCTTCAAAATAATAGCTTGGTTTATGGTTATGGCATCTCCAATAAAATGTGTTCTTGTATTAAGTTTCATCAATAGCCTATTCTAGTGGCACATTACAATTTTCTTATTAGGAAAATATGTTATATCTCAGATAACCTTACTTAGGATATAAGCATCACGTTTGCAGTTTTTATCTGGGTATTAAAAAGCAAAGCAAGAAGAATTGTAGGAGTACTCAAGTTCAAAAATATATTTACATAATTACTTGTAATTGTATATGTGACCAATTACCTATGCTGATAAACATATTTTTGCAAGTATACAAAATATCATTTTTGAACAGTTAATGTCTGTTTTGATACCGTAAAACATTGAATTGAAGCCCTGGACATCTTTTTGTTTTTTGCGAACTTTAGATGGGTTTCTTTTCAAGATGAGCTTCTTTTCGAGGCTACTTTTGCAAAGTAAAGAGGGGGCTTTTCAAAATGAATGCTGTAAATTTTAGGAGTTGTTATAGTGACCCTAATTATTACTTTATAGTACCAATCTGTATCATGGAGTGTATTAACCGGAATTAAATTACCTAAACTATTGTATATAAACAAGCGTATTTTAAGTGTATTTTGTTTCTTTAAAATTCAAGTACAGTGATATGTCACTGTCACAGTGATATGTGTACTGTCTCGAAAAGAAGCCCATAGGCTTCTTTTCGAGGCTAATTTTGTAAACCAAAGAAAGGGGCCTTCAATTCAAGATGGGCTTCTTCTCAAGATTAAGCCCATCGGGCTTCAATTCCAGATTTTACGGTAGTTTCTGATTATTTCAACTGGGAACAGTAGTGTCATTGCAGTTTGTAGATATGGTGCTACATTGTTATCATCATCATTATCATATCATCATCATCATTATATTATTACATATCTAAATTTATGTTTTTGTATATACACCATGGATATATTATTTAAGCACTGTTGCCTATTTGATTATGAATTATATACACATATCAAGAAACATGTATAAATGTCAATTTATACATGCCATCCTGAGAATAAACTAAAAACTAAATGTAAAATATGATTCTGAACGTTGATTGAATGTGTTTGATATGAAAGCTAAAATATTGCAATATTCAAAATTTGATACAAGTAATCTATAGCCAGGCACGAAAGTTTCTTAAAGCAACAATTCTATGATTGTTCATTGTGTAATGAAATGTGCCATATTGCAGTAATTTGTAGTAATGGAATATGTAATTTAGTTTTGATTTGTGGCATGACTGAACACGAAAGCCCACTTGCTCTTGTAGTCACCATTGCTTTGAAATTGTCTACAATCTATGCATAATGATGAAAAAAAAATAATAATAATATTAATGATTAGAAGATACACATGGTTTGGTTGCTAAGTGCTTGCCTTCTAATTTCAGGTCCTTGGTTCAATTCCTGTTTGTGACAGGATTTTTTTTCGTCACAACCAAAACAACTGCCTAAAAGCCTGTCCAAATTTTATTTGAAAAAACATGTGACATGCCTAAATATGGTCATGATAACAACATATATAACCATATATAGTCATCTTTACTATATATGGGCATACAACAGTTTTTTGTCAAAGAAAATTTTATAATCTGGACTACGATTTAGCCTCAAATTTTAGATTTGTCTTATGAAATGGATTAACACTTAAAAAATATCACAATCACACCACATCTCAAAAAAAAAAAAAAAATTATTATTTTTCTTTTTACAACAGACATTCTAACTCTTTTCTTTATCTTTGATGAAATTCAACCTTACATTTTACGAATTCTTTATCAACTATAAAACCACACAGTCAAATATATCAAACAATAAACATTCAATTTGGTTAGCTTGATCGTTTTATTTATGTCATTACTCAGAATGTTTCTAATTTAAATGCTAATAAAGGCTTTCGACTCCCCTATATTGTGCATCTGTTCAAGCCGAATAATTGTCAGTGTCATTTCGCATGCATAGAAAACGGGACAGCTGGTAGATTTTGACGTGATACAATTATGCATAATTCTACATATTTTACATCACATAAAGAGTTATACTTTAATCGCTTGTTTAACTGAAAATGAATTTGATGGGATTTTTTGGGATCGTGTGCAATGGATGATGATATAAAAATACCTACATTTTGTGTGATAGATAGACACAGTACACTAGGTGTTCAAAGGAAGATAATAGTGTGAGGTTGTGTTTATTCTTCAATGCCTTATGAAAATTTAAAAATCCTGAAATCTCCAGTCCTGATTGGTTGATGAAATGATCCTTCTTTAAAAAAAAAAATTAAAACTTGCATGTGTTCATAAGTTAAATATAATGTGAGCCAAACTTTCATCCTCCTCTGTCCGTTAAAATACAAAAATCCTGAACTTACAATTCTGTATTTACAATTCATGTTTATGTCATAATTTTTACAAGACCCTTTGTAATACTTTTTAAAAATATCCTGGCCTATGCCATGTTGTTATTGGCTTAAGCTCAGTTTTATTATGTGTTCCTTGACTATTGTGTACATATTTATAATTTATCAGTACTTCTTAATTTTATACTAGGCCTTGTTTGTCAATATGATCTTCATTTCTATACACTTTACTGTATGTTAATGTATTTGTTCAGAAATACTGCCCTCATGTGTTCAAATTTTAAAAGTACTGTATTCATAGACCAGGGAACCATGTGTTAAAATGGACTTTTTTCACACATAAATTTGTTTAAATACTTGAATAAATATAAATAAAAAATAAATGGGAAAGAAGTGTTTGAATTAATACTTTAAAATGTGGTGTCATAAGGTTACAAGATTGTTCTGTGTGATGTTGTTAATTGATTACGTTCTGTGAGATGTTGTTAGTTGATTACATAACATCAAGAAAATAATAATTATGTGTTGTATTTTTTTTTAGGTTGTAGTAACCAATCAGATTACTACAAGATATGGCTCTCAAGAACTAGCAAATCAAAGTGAAGATCAAAAGAAAACAAGTATGTAATAAACATTCTAAAAATTATAGCCAAAGCAGTTAAAATTTAAGCCAATAAATTGAAATCAATTCTTATGCGCAAACTCAGTACCTATGGATGATGCTTTAGTATGTACCAAAAGTAGGTGGAGGCATTCCCATATCACAATTATGTACAGCACATTGGAATGGGTTATAATACATAGTAAACACACATTGCATCATCAGCCAATCACAGCATGGATAGCTGAGTATGTTTACATTTTCCACAGAAATCAGAAATAAAATTCATCCTTATGTAACTTAGTGTGACCATCTATAGAGGGCAGTATGCATCATTACAAAATGATTCACATGAAGAGGTTTATATGCCTTCAGTTAAATAGTTATTGGTAAATCTGGAAACATTTAAAAAAATGAATTAAAATATTGAATTAATGATCAAATAAGTTATTAACTTCCAATAAATTACAGATCGGTAAACGTAATGTTTAATTATTTTATACAAATCTTTAGATGAACTCTTCCAGTTTTTATGTTTATTAAGTCTTATAATGAGGCTTAGGTGTTGTTTTCACAAGTGTACAAACACTATGCTAGGGGGACAGGATAGACAAATAGGGAGTAAGAAAAAAATATCCTTGATTTGACAGGATTTGAAACCAGGAACCTGCAATTAGAAGGCAAGCATCTTAAACCCCAAATGACAGCCCACATTTCCACATAGTACATACTTAATGCTGGGAAGCATTAAGAAAATATAAATTATTTATGATCTAGAATTCAAGTAACGTTAATTTAAGATTATAAATAATTTATATTACTATATTTATAATCCAAAATTGTAATATTGTTAGGTAGCTTCCTTTCTGCATTAATTTGCATAAATTTGAACTAATTTGTAATGATTATGGAACGGTGTAGTAATCATTTCGTCCCGTGATATTCAATTGTAATTTTGTTCTTGTTATTATCATGTGATGAGAAAATAAAGAGACATATGTTTTATCACTCTTCTATTTATTTCATTAAAGTCTAAATTGTTCTTTGTACATACTACATGTAATTTTAGAACTTGTGTTCAAAGTTAAGTCACAAAAAAAAAAACCACTTCAAAAAGGGGAAAAGGAAGAAAAATCTCAACAACAATATTTAAAATATTTAAAGAAGAATCTATGTAAACATGGTAATATAATGAAACTTTTAAAGGAGGTTGTCATCATATAGTTTCTATTTGGTAAATCATTCAAATTCTTCAATGAATGATACATAAAAAGTGCCTTCAAAATTATTCCAAGGCATGGGCCCTGTCTTTAAATAGAGCGAGAAGCAAAGTATATTCAAATTCAAGCATGCCATTTTCAGCCATTTAGAGGTACCATAGCCATTAGTTTTTACCATGATTGGGGTTGAGGTGGTACAGACCCTCTATTTTGTCTATCCCTAGACCCATTATTCCAAATTCTTAGATCCATCACTGCAAGGTAGAACTGTTAAACCATTATGTTTAGATTATTAATGAGTTAGTTAAGCAATGGATTGGTAGCAAGGGGCCATACACTTTTCAAATGTCCTACTTAAGTTCTGTTCTGACTATCAAATAAAAAAACTATTGTATTCTATGCCCATATATAGTCATGATGTGCCTATATATGGTGATGATGTGATGTCATCATGACCATATTTAGGCATGTCACATGTTTTTGTCAAATGAAATTTGATAGTCTAGACAGGGCATTATACATTGGACTCAACTGAGTGATGTTCTATGAACTAAACCTAAGGCATGCTGCTACGGCAAACTGTCAGCCGACGACTCCGTTTGCTCTCTGTATAAGTGCTTGTTATGTACAAAAACTCCAGTCTACTGATCATCTGTAATGGTCTCTCGTTGCAGATTGCCATGGGAAATGATCAGCTATGCGACATATTTTGAGATTGCTGTCTCATACAATAAGCTTCCTTTTTCTCTATACTATCCTATCCTCTGCCTCTCCTCTTTAATTCATCATGCCGTCTGTCCATAATAATTGGGGATGAGATACCGTAAGTGTTTTCCCTTTTGCCCTTCTTTATAGCTGTGAGTCACATTCTTAAAATATCAGCTTATACTGGTGAATTTTTACTTTAACGAGAGTCCTACCCAAACTTTAACATTGCAAAACCTTCATGAACTGCTTTTATACATGCTAAGTTGAAATATTACTTTTTTACAGATGATCGGTGTTGGGCTGTAAAAAAAATGGGGGTTCTCTATCCAAAGATGGTTGGTGGGCCACAACCATAGGGTTTAAACTTATTTACACAAACTGCAACAAATCACTGCTGGACCGCATGGGGCTTGGGGTTGCACTTCGCCTACCTGTGGTCTAATATTTCTTTGAATAATTTGATGTAGTTATTCACAAGATTATTCATTATTTGTGTTTTATTTTAGAAGCTTTCGTGATTGGCAGTGGCGATGGTCAGGTGACAGCTGCACTTGGCAACACATGGAGTCACAGTATCAACACTCGACTACTTCTTCAGTACCATGACAACACAACAAGAGAAGTAATATATTTGCTTTACATTCACTGAATATTGACAGTTGAATATAGCTATGTGTCAATGTAGAGGGCTCACTCTAGATTTATATATACCTCAGAATGACCATTGACAATGTTACTTTACTAAATTCTGAAAATGCTGCCTTTTTCCTCTTTCCTAAGCTACAGTTCCGATCCAGATCATGACTCAGAATTATAAAAAATGAGTGATCTGCTCTTCATTTTTATTAACCTGCCTTCCCCCCTTCGCCCAATCATTTGGATAAAATATTGCATTTATTACTTTTTAGGTAATGATAGCAAAATCACCTGTGGCACCCTTCACATCTGTGTTGTACACAATACAGGATAAAGGCATTGTACAAGGTAAGCATATGTATACAACTTTCAGGTATTCTTTATACAAATTGCAATGAAATAATAATTGCGGGATCTGATGATGAAGAGGGTGATGGTGTTGTCGTAGTGTGTTGATGATGGTGTTGGTAGTGATGAAGGGAAAGATTAGAATGGGTTATCGGTGGTGGTAGTGGGATGGTGGTGTTGGTGGAATAATGACGATTGAAGAAATGACAGTGGTAATAATGATGGTTGTGATTGTGGCAGCAGCATTGATGAAGATCGTGTTGATTGACTGTAGTGGTGGTGGCGATGATAACGATGATGGTAATGACAACAACGATGAAGGTCATGGTGGAGAGGTTGCGGTGGTGATGTTGGTAATAGTGAGGATTAAGATTAGAATTGAGGTAATGATAGAAGTTGTAAGGGTAGCATTAGTGGCTTTTGTGTGATTGATAAAGATGATGGTGACGAAAACTACAACAAAGCTTCATTGTTGAGCGGTGGTAATGGTGGTGATGGTGGTGGTGGTCGTATTGAGGTTAGAGATTAGAATTTAAGTATGATAAAGGTTGTAAGGGTAGCATTAGTGGTTGTAGTAGGACAGTGGTAGTAAAATATGATTGAAATTGATGGTGGCAACAGTGATGAAAATCATGGTGGATTGGTTGTAGAGGTTGGTAGAGGTGATATTGATGATGGTAGTCAGGTTGGTGGTTGTAGCTGAGATGATTATAAAGTTAATGAGGTTGACAATGATGGGGCAAGACCTTTTGTATACTTTGTTTAGCGAAAACGCCGCCCGCCATTAATGATGATTTCAAATAAAAATTTATTTTGGGCCAATCAGGGCACCCGCATCCACGGAAAAAATGGAAATTTCAGAAAAAATTAAAGAATTTTCTTTATTTTTATTATGCCCGCTGCTGCCTTGAAATCTCCAAAAATAAGATGCGTATATTTCTTCTTAATTATATAAATTTAAAGCTTTTAACAATCCCATTTGCTACACTGTTTACATTCACCTATAAAAGTTGTGGCTAGGGTGTGGTAATGTTTGCGGATGTGGTATTCATCATGTAGATGGTGATGTGGAGGATAATTTTCTTAGTATGAGGCTTTCATTTTCCTCAAAAAGGATTTAGGGCTACAAATCCAGAAAAGAAACGTGAATTAACTATTCATATTTTACAAAAAAAAAAATTTACTGTTTTAATGCTTGTTAATGTTTATAACTCACTTTTAATGAACTCTCTTGAACCCAGTGGTATAAACATAGACACTCATTGGATCACAGTACAAATAAAGCCTGCCATCCCAAAACCAGCATCAGTAACAAAAAAATGAAAATTTTAATATCATTCTTATTTTCCACATTTAAAGTGATGGGTCATACTGAAATCGATTTACTATTGTTACTGTATGAGTAAAAGTATTACAGCTTCTCTGTATTAAAGTATACAATACTGTCACATTACTCAGTATAAAAATTAGCGACAGTATGCTGGTTTTTGGGATGGCAAGCGTCATATACTTCAATACCTATGAATTAAACAGCATTTCCATAATCCAAGTATTCTTTTTTAGTGAACAATTAGATAGAAATAATTTAACTTATGATTACTTGAGCTGGTTAGGTTCTTTTTATTGGCAGCACTGTAATTTTTGAAGTAATTTTATTTGGCAGACCATCAGTCAGTCAGTTGAGTACCGTGATTGCGGTATATGTTGTTTTGAATTTCCTGCCTATTTCAGATGTTTCCTGTTTTGTTCAACGGCCTTGGATATACATACCAACCTTGTTTCCCCTTTGCCGAGTAAGCTTGTGTGTTGGATTGGAAGACATACCCTGCCTATGTTCAATACATTTCTTTTGTATGTGGTTAACTTTCAGACAGTTTCCATTGTAGGTGGTACCTTAGGGAGTATTTTACAATAGATGGTTAACCCAGGGAAGGCTCAACTCTGTTATGAACCCAGGGAAGGTTCTAGACTCTTAATATAGGGTAGAGAGGTTTAGGAATGATGTGAAATAGGTAACCAGTAGAATGATCTTCAAGCCCGTAAGCAGGATTTATAGGGGGAGGGGGGTGGGGTTTAAATTTTTCAAAAAGGGGAATTCACAGTCACCTCAGTCTCACAATGATTAGGGAAGATTTTAAGGATGTAACACCTCAGATGTCCACTCCAGTATACATTAAAAATGTTTTGAGTTAATTTCACAAACCTCTATGCAAATGGTATATTGCTATTACAAGGGCATTACTGGAAAAAATGGTGGGGGTGGGGGGTGGTCATTTCTTTCAAACCCCTCTGTACCAAGTCTACTAGCTTGATCTTTATTCCTTTAAGTTTTCCATCCAAGAATTCCAGCAAAAAAAAACCAACTTATATAAATAGCTACTCGTATAATCACTGTCATATCGTAGATTTTATCACATGACCACAGCCAACCTTGCCAAATCAAGTTTATAAATAGCTGTCTGGTTCCATATTGTCCTGTGTACATCCTGGTACCTGTGATAAAGCAAACATGTCATATGTTCTTGTCATACCGTCGATGAGCCCTCACTTAACGTGTCAAAGCATGTTGAACTTAATATTCTCCACTCACCAATATGTATCATTAGTTTGTGTGAAAAACCGTAGATTCATTTATGTCTTAATTATCCCGCCAATATTTATAATTTACAAATCCATTTTCACATAACTGACTGGGATTGCTTCTTTAATATTGAAGAAATTTTGAATTGACCAATCAATTTCCTATTATTTTGACAGAAACAATGGAGGAGGAAGTATTCTACAAAGGGACAGATCCTGGTTTGCAAAGCCTTAAAGTTCGAACAAGTATTGTAAGCGGAACAGACCAAATCTCATGACCAAGTAAGTTTGCCTCAAGTGATAATGAATTCATCCTACAAAAATATTACATGATATTTCAGGTTACATACCATATAACTCTAAAGCAAGATTTGGAGTTACAGACATCTTAGTGAATAACATTGGACCACAGAGAAAGATTCTTTTTATATGACTGTACTAAAGAAATTTCTTGAACAACGACCAACTGACATTTCCAATCACAATCAAGTTATTTAAACGATACAGAATCCTTAATAGATAAAAATTGGACTAAAGCAAGCAATTTCATGAACAACCTGGCAACCAGATGATTGACAACATTTAAAATTGAACATGAAAACTTAGGATCGTTTATAGAAACATCTGTCTAAACAAATTGCACAAATTTACCATATTTACTTTAACGGAGGAAACGAAATATATATTTTTTTTTTCTCAAATGGCAACGTTCAACTTGAACACAAGTGCTGAGGATGGTTAAACTTTTCTTAGTAAAGTTGGAAGCATTTTTTTTTTTTTTTTTTTAGAACCAGAATTTATATAGTGCCTATCACAATCCGCAGATTATACAAGGCGTTGGCATCATTATTTCCCTGGTCACTGGATACTGAGCAGATCTGTACATTGTGTAACTTTCTCTGCTCTTTTGGGAGTATCCCTGGTCATTGCTGCTTGAACGCGCACGACCCATGCATTCAATGCCATACTATCCTACCAGGTACCCATTTATGCTCCTGGGTGGAGCGAGGCAAATGTAAGTAAAGTGCCTTGCCCATGGACATAAGCAATGTGACGAGCGTCGGTCTCAAACTCCCGATTTCAAAAACAGAAGTAAAACACCTTACACTCTGGACCTTGAGCTCCTAACGTTAAAATATATTTCTTTGACCATTAATATATAGGATAGTAATACATTGTTTGAGCAGTTGGCGCACTGACTGCGCTTCGGTTTCTCAACCTTGAGTTCATAGGTTCAAATCTTCGCTGTGGATTTTGCTTGTGTCCTTGATCAAGGCACTTTATCTACATTTGTCTCCACCCAAGGGTATAAATGGGTACCTGGTTGGGTGATGTGGCATTGAATGTATTAGTATGCATCGGCATTAAATTGCACTCACGACTAGGAATACTCCCCAGGGAGTGGAAGAGGTTGCACTTTGTGCTTGATTATGGATCCAATGACCAGGGGTAGTAATAATAATATTGTCATAGCCATGTATCCCTTGGCAAAAGGCCCGGTATAAGTCCCTGTACTGTATTTTTATTATTATTATTACATTAGGCTGTTAAATTGCTGAGAAATGAACTGTGATCCAATTGGGATTTGAACCCAATGGCAACTGGGCCAAAATTTGGCTTGGATGACGCAAATGTAAATGTTTACCTCTGATCAGAAATAGGCCCTGTTCACCTCATTTTTCTCGTATGATATTTGCGCCCCGATTGCAATTGAAACGTGGCTTATTATAACAAAATACGGGTTGATGATAGAAAACACAGTTTGTGCAACTTGAACTGTATAGAAAAAGAGTTGCACTGTTTTACCGAATATCCAATATACATTGATATCAGATCCCACTTCTTTAATTATATTGTTCAAGTCAACCCATTCGTTGTAGATCTAACCTCTAGTGATAAATTTAAGTTTTTAATGAGTGATTTATTTATTTATTTATTCTTTATATACTGTAGGCACTTTCACTACTATTGCACAGATTTTCGAAGTGGTACAATTTATGGCGCAGTGATGGCAACCACTGTTAATATAGGGTAACTAAATTTGGTAATCTCTATACGTCAGTCTGTTCTGTTTAATAAATAATTTATATTTTAAGAAATGTTTTTTAATATGTTCACTCATAATCCACAATTGGCTGGTCGATGTTTCATGAGAATGTGATTAAAAAACTAACTAGGTTGCTACATTCAATTATTAACTTAATTTTCTCCACATTTAGGGGAGGACCAATTCATTTGTCTTACTTCCTTCGTCTTTGAAACGTCCCATTTCATGTAGTTTTAAGAACATCCTTTCACTTTTTAGGGGTTTAAACCTAATAACTCGTCTTTAATTAAAATTGACGTGCTGTTTGTTATTGTCATGTGCATAAAACGGATTTCAAATTGTATCCAGCCTGTATGGATATCTTTGGAAAAAAATAATAATGATTATAAAAAGTATGATGTGGACAATTGTGGGTAGGATATGACATATCATAATTATGGAGACAATGCTCTCAGAGTGTAATCACCGTTATTATTCAATTAGCTTGCAAACCAATGATCAGAACTTTCTAATGGTTCGCCTGTTTACGAGTCATGCCGTAGTGATTTCTAACAACTACGCTCTCTCCGCGTACAGGACATTGCAAGATTGCTAATGGTCCTTCTGTTTGCTAGTCACGCTGTCGTTTGCCGGCCAAACCTGCTCTGGCTTGGTTTCACATCTATGTGAATGACGATGACGGATCAGTCAGGAAATGAATTCATTGAGCTGGCGAAGCATAAACTGTTTACCACTTTATTGTAGTTCAGCTGAACTTTGTCAGGCAATGAAGGATATCAGGTGATTATTATAACAACTTTTAACGAAATGAACAATACGTGAGAAATCATTAGAGGATGTGGCCTCCTGTATTGGTGATCCAGAGAAATATGTTTATTTGTTCATATAGTGAGTTTGAAAAAGTTCTTCCTGAAGAAGTTGGCTGTATATTTTTAACTTTCTTCCTTGTTCCGTTCTGACTGAATCGTAATCTGTTAAACCATTAGTTTGTATAGGTAACTCAGGAAGAATGAAGCAATACATTGGTTTGCTAAAAAAAAAAATTTGGGAATGAAAAAAAAAATTGATCATGAGTTGATGATACCAAGGTCAGGGGAAAAGTTGTGCTAATTTGGGGCAGATAAATGCTATAGTTTTTCCCTGTTTTTCTTTCTTACGAAAAACAGATTTTGATAAGTTGGGTGAGAAGTAGGTGGGAAATTGGTTTGTAGAGGAGGCAGACCAGAAGTAGTAAAGAAAGATATGCCCGAGCATATTGTATATTCAATATTTTGCTTTATTCTTAAACATGAAACACTTTTTTTTTTATAAATTATTGTGGATATACAAGTTGTGAATGAAATTGGATGGAGTCACAAATTTGTAAGCGTCAAATAAAAGAATTTTTGGTTTTCTTATTTTATCCTCTGACAATCTTTAAAAAATATACAGGTCTCCCTCCAATTAAAGACCATTTTTTGGGACCAGGGTTTCAATGGTCTTTAGCAGCTTTGGTCTCTATTTAGAATAATAAAAATAAAAGACAGTCATTAATTTGGGACCACAGAAAAGTGGTTTTTACTTGGAGGTGGTCTTTAATTGGAGGGGTCTTTAATTGGTGGGAGACCTGTAGTTGGGCCTTCTAAAATATAAAGCAAAGAATATATAAATTAATGCATCATTTTAGAATTATGTACAGCTGTGTGTTCTATTTTGTGACAATCAACAGCAGCTGTCATCTGTGACTAATATACAGTATTTATATGATGGAGTAATAATCATAAGAGAATGCAGCTATGCCAAAAATATGTCTATTATTTATTATTCCTATTCTCTTTCTTTATTTGCGATTATGGGAATGAACTGGTATTCCATAATTCCTTTCAATATTCAATTATATAGTATATTTAAACAAGTCACCACAAACATATTTTATATAGTATCGAATTTCATCTTATTTTATATATACATCTTACGTTAATTCTTAAGTGCAAGCATGTGATTTTCTCCATAAAAACAATCATAAAATAATTTGAGATGATATAAAAAGTAACAAGCTTGAATAAAATGTGCAAAATTTGAATTTGATTATTTATCAATTTGGCCTACCGGTATTTATATTTAATCTTCACAAATGCATATCATTATCAGTAATACTCGTTAGAGTGCATACCTCTGCTCTGTGCATGAAGATTACCAACAATACGCAGACGTGTATGGGATGGGCGTATTCTGGGATATTATTTTCTTGAGTGCTGCAGCATACCCTCAAGAAAATAATGGAATTGTCCATTGTATTTATTGACATTTATACCTCCGGCATGTGCCTGAATGTGAGGGGCGATTCCATAACATTCTTTTACGGTCAAGGGTAAAAAATGGAATTTTTCTGACCATAACCTTGTCCTTTGACCTTTTCCTCCGCATATTGAATGGTTTCTCTTTTCGCTTATTATGTACTATTCCACTAAATTTTACGATGATACCTTCATTACTTTTTGCGTAATCTTGCTGACAGACAGTGGTAAATACATAACCTCCTTTGGCGGAGGTAATAAGAACTACAGTATAACAATTATAATTTGTAACAGTTAAATTAGATGGGAAAGCAGGCAGCCATCCTTACCTTTTTAATTTTTTTTTTTTATCATGGCATTCCATTTAATTACGAGAATAATTATAATTATTGTCTTATTTACTTACTATAATGATACAATACATCCTTCCTGATATGAAGGAAGAGAATATATATGTAGCCCCCTCTATAGTTGAGAGATGGCAATTGTAGGTGACTTTCTTTATTTCTGCATGATTGCAAAGTTAGCCACTGTTTCTGTTTTCTCTGGCTACTGTGTTGTACAAACAGGTTAACACTTTTTCTACCAATAGGCCTTAGTATCCAGATGTACTAAGTTAAAGTATAAAAAGCCTGTTGTGGATGTTTGTAAATACAAATGAAAATAGAGGAGGGTGGGTAGCTCATATTAGCTTTATTGATAACCTGGTTGTTGGAGAAATACTGTACCTTGTGTTTAAATTTGGCATATGTTGCTCTTTTTCATATAATAATAAAAATAGTTAAATTATAAGTAGTGGCCAGACAGCAACCGAGAGAACACGCCAACACATAACAAGAATGTTAAAAATAGCTCCTCAAATTTCTGTTTCACGCTGATCAATGTATATTCATTGTATCGTCGGTGGAAATATAAGCCGTTGATTTTACACAATCGAAAGAGGGAACTAAGCACAGCAGGAAATTTAGCAAGGTCAGAACAAATTGTATTAAAGGACAACATGAAATATGAATTTTCTTAATAGACTGGCTTTAACATGAACTGGTAACCAATCACTGATTATATCCGGAGGTCAGACGTTGAACTTAACTTGCCTGGGAAAGCGACAAGTTAATGGGTTAAATAGGCTCTATTATACTGCTGATCTCATTAAATGATTTTTCAGCCTGTATTCATCCTTTTGTATTATTTTAAGTTTAAACATCCTGGATTCTACATGATTCATTGGCTATCAAGCAGTGCATATGCACTATGAGGCTTGCCATCCCAAAACCAGCTTCATTGACCAAAAAATTAAAAATGATTATTTTAATAGCCTATTATTATTATTATTATTATTATTATTATTATTATTATTATTATTATTATTATTATTTAGCCTATTATTTTTCATACCGTAAGCTTCAGAACGATGGGTCATTTACTAGAATCTATTTATTATTGCCAAAGTTATGAGTAAAAATATTACAGCTTCTCTGTACTAAAGTATACAACACTGCCACATTCTAATGCTAATTACTCAGTTAACATTTGGTGACAGTACACTGGTTTTGGAATGGCAACACCCCCCTCCCCCCCCCCAATATCAACATGCATACAAGTAACACTAGGGGTGTTTTTAGAAAACATGCTCTTATATGTTGCACTTCTCATCAATTTCACTTTTCACTGGAACATCTTTGAAATAGTTTTAAAATAACATCAATAAATAATATTAATTATTGTACCAGTATTTTGCATTGTACAGATGTATTTTTGGAAAATATAGATTTATAAATAAATATATGTTTAAATTAATGGCTGGATGGTATTATTTTTTTTCGTAAAAGTTTATTTTTATATCAACTTGAATTCCATATGTTGTTAAAGTAAACAAATGGTACCGTCTTAGAGCTGAACTATCACGGAGGTCATTGGCCGAAAATCGACCAATCAATGATGCTGAATACTTAGGGATATCTTACACTGCAGACTGTGAGCCAACCGAGTTGTCCATAGAGATGGCATCCACTTAGAAAATTATTCTTATTTGAGATGTCTGGAGAGGGGAGATGTGATTTGAATGCGTTCCAAGGGATTTAGTAACTTGGCGTCTTGTGTATTCTTAGTGTATTGTATGTGTATGTACTGTTAGTTATATTTGGATGTTTTTAACTAGATTCTGCTCTATTTCTCAATGGTTGTGATGTAGAGCATACCGTGAATGTTGAAGAGAAACATGCCTATCGAAACATAACTAATAACAAATAATAACTCGCTTGATTATTATATATGACAAAACATAATGACTGCCGGGTATTTTTTAAAATTTAATTTATAACATTCCTATGTAGTTTCCTCAGTGATGACTATTCAATCAATTTTGATTTTATTTTATGAATTGTTTTTATGCTATAATTCACTCTAGATTCAAATATTTTTTAGATAAATTAATACCGTACATGTAAAATATCGTTATTACTGTTTTTATTCTAATAATGCGTTTTTCCAAACTAAGGCTCATTATTTAGTCATTATTATTTTTATTATTTTTATTTATGTAGATATTTCTATTATTATTATCATTGATGTTATTGTTATAGACCTTCAAAAAATATGTAATATTTTTGATTGTGTTACAGTTTTTTTTTTTTATCAATTATGTTTGTTTAGACAAGTGTACTTGCTATACACATACATAACAATTTATCATATATATCTTTTATAAAAGAAGTTCATAGAAAAGAATACTGCTATTGGAACACATACTATACTGTATGTGTCTTCTTTATCTCTCTTTATTGAAAGTCCTGCTCTTAAAAATGTTTGATATTGACACAGCGGGAGTTACCAAAGGCTGACCATTCTCAGTTGACCATGCTAGATACCCCGGCTTGCACTGTTGACAGACTGGCTGGCTGTAATATGGTTTTCACGTTTCAGGCTTAGGTGTGATTGTTTCATAACTTGTAAATACAAATTAAAGATATGCAATAAAACATATGTATATAATGGCTGCTTTTCATCATCAATGATGCTAAGATCATATCAACTATTAACTACATATGCAAAAAAGAGCATTAGTAACCTATGGCTAAATGGGTCACACCCTCCTCCGCTTAGCTTGGGAACAATCAAAGGAAATCTTAATAAAGCTTGATCAACCAAAATAATTTTGTTAGTCACATGATAAATTCAGATGTTTAGTCTAGTTTCTCCTCCCCACACTCTCGATAACATTTTGATCCCCTCTCCCATAATTTTAAACTTCTTCAAATGATATAATATGCTACTTGATATTAATGCCAATTCATTTATCCGTAAATGTGTGTTGTGTTATTTTTCAGCCTACTGGCCATATGCACAGTGGTGTTTAATAATGAATTGACTGATTTAATAATAAAAAAGTATACCCCAGGGTATAATGGAATGAAGAATAAGAACACCTGATTGGATGATAGTAGTTGAAGTTGATTAAAGGACTGTTCCATTTTGCAAAATAGGGTAGTATATCACTATACAGAGAGGTGTCTGTCCAGAAAAGACAGATGTATTTTATTTTGTATTTGTTACTTTTTAATCTTTGTAATCAGTGAAGTGGTAAGTGATATACTGAAATAAAGACTTCTGCCATTTCTTTATGCATAAATCATCAGGATTTGTTTACTCCAAAATTTGAGATTTAGTGTTTATGTTATTGAATAGTAATTAATAGAATTCTGCAACTATACTTGACAGATTTTGGCACTGTGCCTATTCTTTCCTCCTATTAGTTCTGTTCTTGATTAATTCCCAATGAGTCTGTTCATTTTGAAAAATATGATGTATACATTGTAAGGCCTATGAAGAACAGATCATGGCTTTCAAAAACACTATCATCATCATCATCATATACATTTAGAGTACATGTTTATTTTAATTTAATAAATGAATTTATTTTGTATTATATATTATATTATTATTTATTATAATTATATTACTTTATAGTATATATTATATATATTATTATTTAATTGTTATGTTTATATTATTTTATATTTTGTATTATTATTTTATATAATATATATATAAGTATATATTAATACAATTCAATTCAGTTCCATTCAATTTATTGTCCAAAAGTGCAATTGCAGGGCGGAAACAATTCATTGCATATTAAAATATTAAAATTTTACATACAGTAATAAAAATATTAATATAAAAATATAAAATAGTGTTCAAATACATTAAAATATGAAAGAATTTGGGTTTGAAGTACTAAACTTAATTAATGTAATGCACAAACTGTAAGATACAATGATGATTGAATAATTATACACAAAATTATTTATTTACATGTGGTGAGTTTCACATTTTCATGTGCGACACCCCCCTTCCCCCTTTTCTGGGCAAAACCAGCTTATGCTCCTGCTTAAGCTCATATCATATTTTTATAGGGATGTTTTAAGTTTGGAGAGGACACATATTATTATAGTAGATTCAGGCAAATGAAACGAGAGAGACCTGTTGTATTTTAGAAGGAGAAAGGCATGATGTAAGAAAAACATACTATAACCATGGAGGCTGTCTCTTATACACATCTTTTCTCACCTGCCTATATTTTTTTTTAAGAAAAACATTTTCCTAAAGAGAAAATTAATTAGGGTTTTTTTTTTTTCGCTTTTTTTTTTAGCTTTCCTCCTCTGATGTACATTTAAAAATAATAGTCAGCTAGACAAGGTATTTAAAAGGATCATTGCCAACTAGGGTTTTTTTCCCCGCTTTTTTTTTAGCTTTCCTCCTCTGATGTACGTTTAAAAATAATAGT